AGCCATGGTCCGGCTGACTCGTCGGCGGCCAAGAAGCCCTTTCCTGGTGCGCAAAGCTTCGTGGCAGTCTCCTTGAGCTCAGCCAAGACATCCGCGGGCAAGTTGGCCATGGCTGCCAAATCGTGGTCAGGACGCTACACAGGCAAACAAACCGGAAAACACCTGAGCCCAGCCACCACGACGGTTTCGTGATGCGGGTAAGCTGGTGGGAAGGCAAGAGGTCGCGCTGACGTCGTACGTCCTGTACTATGCACCACAGATTCCCGAATCCTCAAACCGAAACCTGATCACACTGCGGCCCCCCTCGGATTTTCATATCGCATCAGATTTTGGCTGATTACACAGGAGATTGTCGTGACTCGTGCTTCTTTTTATGTACAGCCACAGGACACGATACACAAAGATAGACAGCTGAAGTACATGTATGCCTTGAGATCAGGGACGCCGTGCGAATTCGATCCAAACGAAAAGAAGCAGGCCTGGATGAGTGTAGCCAGCCAGGAAGTACATATACACACACACAGGGACAACAGGTCATGCCAGCCATGAGTAGCAACAGCTAGCACAATCATCACGAACATCAGCATATATCAGCACCACTATCACCATCGTCGTCAACCTCGCCAACACAGCACCAACTCCCAAACCCTGGAGGCTGCGGCTTCTTGCCTGAAGTGCCGCTGGAAGCTCTGGTGCTCGAGTCCGAAAGTCCACAAGACGCCTGAGTGCAGGGCTTTCGCAAGCATAATTACCGGTGAAACTACAGGGACAGCATGGCTTCACAAAGCATCATAACACATGATGAGAGAGACCATCGTGTAAAGCAAACTTATAACTTAATAACTCTCGCCTGTCTTAACCCTCAACTTTACACTTGCTGATCCCAAGCCCCTCCCGCTTATCTAACACGACGCCGCCGCATCCCACCGGCGCCCAACGTAAGAAAATGCTGCGCGTTTCTTCAACCTCCCGCACTGCCCGGAAAACCAACCGGACGGCAGAGTTGTGAAGTTTGTGGAAGAATTGGTGGAGTCAAGAAGGCCGCACTTCCCCTGTGTGAAGGGCTTGGGGCCGTTGGGTTTCACTGTCAGCGGTGCTCACACTCGGACCAGCCAATGAATTCGACGTGAGAAGAAACAGGATGGATGCCGCTTGGCAACAGACCCTGCGTTCACTATAGCCAGGAAACCAAAGGAGCACCATGCGCCCGCCGAGAACCCTATATGTCAGACGTTCCAGTGCGTACCACAGCCGTATGGGCCCCGACCGACAGTAGCGAATGTATCAATTTCAAGCAATGCCGAACAACTCTTTCTCAGCACGTCGGGCGTCTTGCGAGATGACGGTCTATAGGACTTGAAAATTTGGCTTCGTGACAGAAACGACTGCGTGAAAAGAACCTCTAACCTCGGATCGGCACAGGAAGTCGGCCTGAGCGATGAACTAATTAATTAGTAGGGTCCGGCTGCCTGCATTACATTGCCGTCGGTGCCCACGCTCGCGCAACTTCCTTTCACATACTTCCCGAAGACGGCATCCATATTTGCATTCGAACGGGCCTTGAGTGCTTTCTGCGCCGCCGCCTTGTTTTCCGGCTTGCCCAACCAAGTGACGATGCACGTCTTCTGCAATGCCTTGCCGTAAGAGAAGGAGAGATGCCAGGGAAGGTTCGGGTAGAGCTTGTGCATGGTGCTGAGATTGACGGTGGCCTCCTCCTCATTGTCCTCGTTGAGCGCCGTCTCGCCGGAAAGGAAGAAGATGCCCGGCATGGCCACCGGCACCGTCCGCAAGAGCGTCTGCACTGTGAGCTTTGCAATGGTCTCAGCGTCTGCCTTAGGCCCTTTCAGACCATTCTTGACCATGTTGGGCTTCAACACGGCACCCTCCAAGTAGATGTGGTGGTCGGC